CAACCTTCCCCCTTTTTTTTTTTTTCCTACCTTTTCCCCTTTTCCCCTCTTTTTTCTTTCCTTTTCTATTTCTTTTTTTTTTTTTCCCTTTTTTTTTTCCCTTTTTTTTCCCTTTTTTTTTTTTTCTTCTTTTTTTTTTTTCTTTTCTTTCCCTCCCCCCTTTTTTTTTTTTTTTTCTTTTCTTTTTTTTTTTTTTCCCCCCCCCCAAAAAAAATTTTTTCCCCCCTTTTTTTTTCTTCTCTTTCCTTTTTTTTTTCCCTTTTTTTCTCTTTCCCCTTTTTTCCTTTCTTTTTTTTTTTTACCAGGGCTTAAACCCCAAAAAAATTTAACATTTTAATTTTCCTCTTTTGGGCAACTGCACTTTTAATCCCATCTACTAATTTTTCTACTTTTCCCCGGTTTGCCCCCTTCTTCCCAAAATTTTTTTCCGTACCCCCTCCCTTTGGTTGTTGTTGCCTTTTTTAAAAATATCTCAAATTCTGGTACTCCCATAAATTTAAATCCAGTAAACTTTTTCTCGCTATTCCTTAAAACCTTTGGAAAAATTTCCAGGGATGAGTTCGAAAAGGGTTTTTTCAAGACCTTTTAAAAAAGTTTAGGTCTTTTTAAACAATTTATACCATTTTTCAGCTGTATTACCTAACTTTTTTCCTTTTCTAAATTTTAAATTAATTTTTTTTTTCCACCGGCCGATCCCACCAAGGCAGGGGCCCCCAAAAAAAGAAAAACTTTCACCATCATTCACTCCATCACTGTCTTCCCAGAAGGGTGCTTTACACTACAGTTTTTAAACTGCAACATTAACACCCCTCCTTCAAAGTGAGGCACTGTACTTCCCATCCCCAGGACTCAAGCCGGCCCCCGGGTTTCCCCTGAATCCCTTCAAAATTTTACTTTGCCACCTCCAAACAGCAGTAAAGTATTAAAAACCTTTTTGTCCCATTCCTCCTATCAAACACCTCACGCATGCCTGCGGAAGTCCAACCCCCTCGCACACAAAACCCCCTTTACCCCCCCCTCCAACCCTTCCCCCGCCCCCTACCCCCCTTCCTTCCACTACAGACTGATCACCTTGAAGTCATTCTGTTTCGCTCCTTCTTCACATGTCCAAACCCCCTAAACAACCCTTTCCTCAGCCTCTGGACAACGTTTTGGTAACCCGCACCTCCTCCTAATTTCCAAACCTTTAGAATTCTCTGCATTATATTCACACCACACATTCCCCTCAGACTGCATCCCCATCCCCTCCAGCCTTCTCCTCGCTGCAACATTCATCACCCACGCTTCCACCCTTTTAAAAAAAAGCTTTTGGTAAAACTATACCCCAATACATTCCCCTTTGCCCCCAAGGACAAATTTTCTTTGTCCCACAGACTCCAATCCCCACTCCCCTTTTTTTCCTCATCTTCTATGATTCCCTCATTTTTTCATAGCCCCATCCGCTACACGTCCCCCCCCAAATTTGAAAACGTTCCCTCCTCCTACTCTCTCCCCCCAATCTGATATTCAATCTTTCATCACCTAATTTTTTTTTACCTCAAAACCTTACCTTTCCTGTATTCCCCTTTTAATTTTTTCTTTTGCACACCTACCAAATTCATCCACCCAAACTCTGCAACTTTTTCTTCAAAACTCCCAAAAGCAAGTTATCACAAAGAGCAGCTGGAAAAACTCCACTTTTTTGATTCTTTTTTTTTAAAACCCCCGCCCCTTGCCAAGACCCTCGATTTATTTTTTTTTTACAACCCACTAAAATAATTAAACAACCACGGTGACATCACACATCCTTGTCTAAGGGCCCACTTTTTTTTGGGAAAAAATTTCCTCTTTCCTACTACTCTAACTTAGCCCCACTATCCTCGTAAAAACTCTTTACTTTTAGTAACCCACCCCTACACCATACACTTGCAACATCTGCCACATGCCACCCATCCCCCCTGTCATACCCCTTTTTTTCCAAAACCCCCTTAAAACCCCAAGACCTCTTTAGCCTATCTAAATACTGTTCATTATATGTTTTCACTGTAAACACCTGGTCAACACCCCCTACCTTTCCTAAAGCCTCCTTTTTCATCTGCTATCCTATTCTCCCTCTTTCTCTTAATTCTTTCTTATAAATCTACCATACACTTTACCAGGTACACCAACAGACTTATCCCCCCAAATTTTTTTTACTCTCTTTTATCCCCCCTTTCCCTTTTACAAAGGAACATCATGCTCTCGCCAAACCCCAGGTACCTTACCCTCTTTCCATACATTTTTTAAATAATTGCACCAACCACTCCAAAACTATATCCCCCCTCTTTAAATTTTATCTTTATCCATCAATCCCGGGGCCTTCCCCCCCCTTTATTTTCCCTACTGCCTCCAAAATTCCCCCACCTCACAAGGGCCCTTTTTTCCTCCTCCTAAAAGGGTTTTATTCCCCCTTGCCTAAACGAAATCACAGTTTCCCCCATCTTCTCAAATTTTAACAATTCCTAAAAATTTTCCTTCCATCCCCCAATACCTCTAACTCTCCATTTAATAACTCTCCTTCCCTTTTTTTA